GTTTATTAGAAATATACTGTATTTTTTGTTATATTTCTTCTTGTACTATTTTTTTTTTATAAAAATTAATTTAACTTTTTTATACTAGTATTGATTTTTATTAATAAATATTTAGGAAATAAATAGGTTTTATTATGGGGGTTATTTTTATCTGCAATGTGTTTAAAAATTCTAAAATTAATTAATACATGGATCTCATGCTTAAAAACTTATTAAAGCTAACAGTACCAATCTTTTTCTTTTTAAAATAAAAGTTTTGCAAACAGGAAAATCAAAGAAGTATTTAGGTATATGTATTGTTTTACATTAGATACTTTCTATTGACTAAACTTAGTTTCAGTAAAAAAGCAAGACTGTACGTAAAGTAGTCATATTCTTGCAGCTTCCTTGTGACTATATTGTTGCTTTAGCTTTAAAATAACCACAAACATATTTATTTAGACTCTGATCTGTGACACTCTGCCATTCCAAAATACAGAATTTTGATGATTCAAGCCAGCCTGTAACTTTTTTTACTTTCTAGCTAGAAGAGTTATATAGTTTAAAGATTGTTTGGCTTTCATCCAGCTTGGTTTTTCTAAGTGGCCGAGTTAGTTTAATAATAAAGAAAATGCAACGTATTTCAGTATCAGCATCATAGCTGATCTTGACCAACTGTCACAAATTATTGGAGAGCATATTACCTCAATCTATAATCTTCCCTCCACAAAGGTTTTTAGCTAGAGTTAAATAATATTCCTGAAATATCTGCATCCTTTTTCTGAAGGTTAAATCCCTACCCTCATGCCAGTATAGATTTATTATATATTTTTCAGAATATGTATCTTTGTACTAATTTATGTAGGTCAAGTTCATACGAGTTTATTCAAATTTTTACTGTTTTCTCTGATTCAAATTCCATTTTTTAGAGCATTTTTTTAAATAGCTAAATATTTGATTTTGGTTCAATATGAAAATGATTTTATTTGGTGGTATTAAAATTCCTGAACATGATTAGATTTGCTTTATAATCACCGAAAAAATAGAGCTTTTGTCAGTATTTTATAGTTTTTAAACGTAATCTTCTATTTGAGGTCAAATATATTTTAAACAAAAAATGATTTTAAACCCTTTTTGATAATTAATCTTTATCTACTCATAATTTATTGACCAAGTTGAATTTAATTCAAATAATCATTACGAGTAGATCCACCTTGATTCAGCTTTCATTAATTTTATTTGAAACGTTCATTGAAACCCATTTTGACGCTGAGAAAACATAAAACTACAAAGAACAAGAAGAGAAAGAAACTTTAAAAAAACAAATCTATTTTGGCCCTTATGTCAAGATAAATTGAAAAAATGATCCAACTTTTTGATTTTATTTATCCAATAAAATTTTTAAATTTAATAATTGTTATTGTGCAACGTATTAAATATTGAAATTACGGAAATAATTGATTTAGCACTTGATGAATATTAAGACTTTTCAAGCTTGACTCTTAAAGGCAGTTTTGGAGGCTAGTCTATTCCCTGCTCATACTCAGCATATTCCTGCCACTATTTAATGACCTTAATTGATTTTTTTAAAGATAAACTAAGAATTAAAATACATAATCTTTATTTAGTAAATATTTTATCTTAGAATACAATTAGGAAAAAATATAAAGCAAAAATTATAAATATGCTGTTTAAGAAACCACAGCCTGCACTTTTTTTCTTTTTTTAAAATATCTGTATACAAACCGTTAATAAGGATATTATTGAGGATAATATAAAATACCACGCACATGTTATTGAATAATAGTAGAGTATTAAATAAGTATATAATCAATTCTATTGCCTCGAAGGAAAAAACTTGATGGAATCAGTCATAAGGAAAACATTACTTTTTTTATCTAAAACCGTACATATTTATTTTTCTTAAATATATTGTATAAAAAAAGCAGTATTAGAATACCACGTTGTAAAAGTCACTGTTTCAAAGTTATTCTGAATTAATTTTTCGGTATTTGCCCCTGTAACTGGAATATAGTTTCCCCTTTATATTTTACAAATAATTAAGTAGAAAACGCATTTCAAATAAACGCAGTTTCTATGTTTTTATTATAAAAATTAATGTAAGCAAATTTGATGAGAACAAATGGGAAATCCCACAAGAAGGGCGTCAAGCCATTGCACTCTATTTATTGGACAGATTAAAAAAATAGTGATTAGTAGTTTTTATGAAAAGTCATTCGAAAAGACAGTTTTTTCGAAAGTCTTTACTTGTCAGTTTTTATAGAATATTTTTTTGAGCTCAAGATCCAAACATGAGGGTATCATAAAAAAGCACCCTTGTTGTGGGATTTCCCAAATTTATAGTTTATATATTTTAATGTATTAAAGATAAAACTAATAAAATACCTTTCAAAAAAAAGTTTTTGATTTGACCAAAAACATATTTTTTTTGTTAGGTGTCCATGTCATTTTTTTTATAGAATGTTCCAAGCTTAGAATAACAATTTGTCTGGTTTTATTTCATAGTTTCATTACAAGTATTTAACACTAAAAATTGCCAAATCTAAGAGATTAAAAAGGTATACTTCTTGAAAGTGTAAAAGAAATGATTCTTGATTTTTGTATCCAACTATTGATGCAAAATAATAGTTAACCTAGAGCATAAAAAACTCAATTTATACATGAATGGCTTTTTAATAGTTTTTTTATATTGGAACTCGGTTGCACTTTACCCCCCCCCACTATAATTTATGTTTCAAATAATGGGTTTACACCTTTGTGTTTATTATTGAATTAATTATAGTTTACCTTTGTGTATATCACTTTTAATACAAAGGAATGTATGTCCAAAAACCTATATTAAACTCAAACTATGATCAAAAACGCCTATAGACGTTTATTTTTCAAATTAAATATGTCTTTTAAAGCCTTTCTAGATATCGATATAGATTTATCACATTATATGACCCCTACTTTTATCCAACAGGTTTTCTACTTGGTGTTTTTCAAAATATTTTTATCTCCTTGCAATTGAATATTGACAAAAACTTATAATTTTTGAACAAGGCGTTCATATGGTTTTATATGGTTATGCTTTAAATCAATATATTAAATTTATTCATTATTAATAGGTGTAGAACAATCAACAATTAATTTTTTTGTTTGTATGCTTTTTTCAAGTACAAGAAATGCTAGAACCCAGAACTATCTACAAAACTATTTATAAACTCTGCCTCGTTAGATAGATTATTTTCCCAGGAGCTTGGAAAAAACTCCATATTGTGTGGTTGGACTATCATTGTTTCTGCATTTTCTGAAAGTATATTTTTTCCCTCAAGACCCTCAAACGACTTTACTTTTTCCGAGTCTGATGGTAAAACCTCAAAACCAAAAAGAGAGATATTTTCCTCAAAGCTATTTTCTGGTTTTTTGGTCTGCAAACTTTCGGATGATTTTGATGCCTGTAGTTTTTCTGTGATTTGAGATTTTGCTAGCATTACTTTCTCTCCATTTTCCAAAGAGTTTTTCAAGGTTTCTTCAGATTGTTTGAGATTAGTCTGAGGAAAGGCGTTTTTTTCAACACCAGCATTATTATTGTTAGTATTATTGGTGCAAGCTTCAATATCCTGCTTTTCAGATGCTTTTAGATTTTCTTCGAGTGTAGCTGGAGCAACTGAAACCCCTACAAGTGTTTCTGGCGAGTGTACTTCTTGATTACTCAGTGAAGATGTAGCTGATTCTGTAATGTTAAGGCTTGATTTATGTTTCTTTAGTCGTGGAAACTCTGGAGCAGTTTTATTATTGTTTTGAATCAAGTTTTCATCGGAACTATGGTCACTAGGCCCATTTCTTTTATTTACATTTGCCTCAATATTAAATTTATATTCGTTATCAACGGGGCTACTATACTTTGAATCAGATATAATGGAGTTAATGTGGTTCTGTACTGC